TCTTCAGCGCGGCCCCCGCACCTCCCCGGCCCGGCCGCCCTGAGTCTGCGTCCCGCTGGACAGAGGGTCTTCACTGACCCCCACGCGCCGCGCCGGGAGGCGGGGAGCACGGCGCTGGCCGCCCTCCGCGGGGCCGGCTCTGCCGGGGCAGCTGGCGCCCTCCGTCCCCGCACGTCCGCTCAGCTCTTGCTTGAAGGGTCACAGCTCTCCCAACTGCAACGCCCCGGGCGTCCCCGGCCATTCTGACCCCATCGAGAGCCCTACTTGTGAACAGATGTCTCTGAACAAAGTAGATTAAAAGCCCTTTCCCCCAATTTCTAGGCTGTCAGGATTTAAACACTTTGTGGAGTTTCGTGTAGTTTAGACCAGTAGAAAGGTTCAAAGCACTGGGCTCTGGAGGCTGATAGGGTTTCACAGCTTGATCTACCCTGTTTTCTTCTTTGTAAAATGAGGGTGATAATAGTATTTATCGGGAAAAAAAAAACCCATAGTGAGCGTTAAGTTAGTTATACATGTCAAGTGCACGGGGCTAATAGCAACTCCTACTTTAGTTACGGGATCTTTTCCCAGAAACATGAAAATGGCTTTGACCAGCAGGTGGCACTGGTAACTATAGTATAATGTGTAGCCAGCCGATCCCAAGATTCCTGGTGTAGCCTCAGGTGTTCAGAGGCCTCTTGGAAATGGCTAAACTTTCTTCAAGCTGGAAAGTACATTAGAAATTAAGTAAGACTACTCCCTGGTTTGGTAAGTTGAGAGTAATCTGAGTGTGACTTGCTAAAGCAGGTTGCAGTAGGTCCCAAGTTTCTTCCCACAAGTTGTGTCACTTTTTTTCCTTTTTAAAAAAAAACCCTTTTCTGCCTCCTTGTGAGCTCATTGGGATAGTACCTTGAATGTGTGTTAGAATGGATGTCTGCATTCACTCAGCAAATATTATGAAGCACTAGCTATGTGTCACGTTGCTCTGGCACTACATGATGAACAAAGCAGACACAGTGCTAGCTTCGCTCTCATGATGTTTACTTACTGGATGAGACTACTGTAAATGTAGATAAATATATGATATAAATTGCAAAGAAAAATATTGAGGCTGTTTTTGATTGGGTGGCTTACCTCTCTCAGGAGATGAGAAGCTGAGCCCAGAAAGCTGGAATAAAGAGCCAGTCATGCAAAGATTGAAAGGAAGAGCATTTAAAGTAAGGAACAGATTCAAAAAGGCTCTAAGGTGGGAAAAAGCTAGGACATGCACAAACGCTAATGCAGCTGGAGCACAATGAGAAAGGGGGAAAGTAGCAAGAGATGATGTTGAAGTAGGCTGGAGCTTTTGAGTAGGGCCATACTAAGGGGTTTGAATTTTATTCTGAATGTGGTAGAAGCCATTGAAAGATTTTAAGTATGGAATGCCAAAATCCCATTTTTTATTTTATTTTATTTATTTTTTATTTTTTTTTAAATATATTAGTTTCCGATGAGAACAACAACAAGTTGTGGTTCTTGTTTTGTTCAGATTTCCAAGGTGGTTTCATTTTTTATTTTAAAAATTCATTCCTGATGCTATGTAGAGAATGAATTGGGTGATGGTATGGGTAACAGGGAGATGACCAATTGGAAGATTATTGACGTAATACAGGTGAGAGATGATATCTTCAAATAGAGTGGTGTGGTAGAGATAAAAAAAAAAGTAAACAGATTAAGATATACTTTGAAGGTAACGTCTGGAAGACTCAATGAATTAGAAGGAAATAAGGGAGGAGGGAATCAGGTGATTTTCAGGTTTTTGGATTGAGCAATTTAGTGGATAGTAATACCATTTACTGAGCTAAAGAAGACTAGAGAACAGATTTTGGGGGGATAAGATGTGTAATAGAGAATTCCATTTTAGACAGACTAACTTGGTCTGCTATATCCAAGTGGAAATATTTGATTAGCTGTTGTATGTAAAAACTTGGAGCTCAAAGGAGAGATTTGTATTGGTCATATACATTTTGGAGTCATCAACATATGGATGATATTTAAAACCAAGGGAAATGATAAAGTCATTGAGAGATTGTCTGGTTTGATGGTTATCATCATCATGGGGCCTGTGACAACCATGCTTTTTGGATTTAAAGCATTAGATTTTAGTAATCAGTTAATTGAACTGTCCTTACAGACATGCAAATGGTCATGTGTTTGTCATTCTGTGTTGCCCTGAGATGCCCCATCCCGTGATGTTGAGAGTGAAACAAGATCTTGTGTCCACAGGTGCTCCCTGGATCAGGCCCGTAAGCTTGCTGGTTTCTATTTTCAGTGAGCTGAGGGCCATGTCCGATTTCTGCCACCTACCGGTCAGACCATGAAGCTGAAGGAAATTGAGAGACCAGCTGTCCAAGCGTGGAGCCCAGCCAGCCAGTACCCTGTGTATCTGGCCACAGGTATGGTGATACTGTGGACTAGGAGCCAGGGGAGGTACACAGGTCCAGGGAAGCTTAATATGCAGAATTCTTTATTGAACATCAGAGAAAGCTTGAGAGTCATGGGGTTGGCTCACAGCAAAGCAAGGGGGTATTAGCTGTTTTGGTACCTGGGGGTAGTCTTGGACTATGGCTCAAGGCTAGGCACCTCATGTTTTTTCGCAGTTACCATTTGAAAAAGGGTATACTCAGTCTTTTCTTGTTTCTCCTCCTCTCCACTCCCTATGTAAATATGCCCCAAATCCATGCATATTTTGTTGCTCATACGCTGCCTCTTCTTAACTTTTCTCGTGCCTAGGAACATCTGCCCAGCAGCTAGATGCCTCCTTTAGCACAAATGGCACATTGGAAATCTTTGAGGTTGATTTCAGGGACCTTTCTCTGGACTTGAAACGCAAGGGAGTCCTTTCTGCCTCAAGCAGGTACTATGTCTGAAGTGCTGGTGGGTACGCAGGGTAGACCCTGATGGGGGATCCTGGGAGTAGTGTGTGCTTCTCAGGGCTCATGAGGAGACCAGGGAGGGGAGAAGGATCCTCACTAAGTTGGAGAGAAGTCAACTCTGGGTTTATGTTGCAAAACTATTTAAAAAAGCACCACTCCTTTCTGGTCAGCAGCAGCAGCAGCAGTGTTAGGCAGAATCATGTGATAGAGATGCCGCCCACATCTTGGACCTATGAGTACCCGATCTCTCTCTGAATCCAAAGATGTTGACTTCTTCCTCCCTTGGCTCTTGTGAAGGTAAATACCTTACACAGTATCCCCCTCTTCTGCCAAAGGAAGGAGAACAAATGATCCTCTCCTCACTGCTGTCAGGGACCGATTGGGACTCATGGCTCTGGCAGGCTTACAGGGCTGGCATTCACTTACTAGCATTCGGTGAGCACATGTATACATGCCAGGCACTATGCTAGGGGCTCTGTATATCTAACTCATCCCTCGAAATGAGCCTAAGCAATAAATAACATTATTCCCATTTCACACAGGAGGGAACCAAAACTCTGAAAAGCTAGGATTTAAGTCTCCACCTGTTTAATTCCAAAGCCTACCTTCTTTCCATTATCCAATTGCTCTTTTATAGGTTTGTAAAGATGAGGCTTACAGTATGAAGCATTGTCTCCATATTTTTGTACCATTGGAAAAATGTGAATTACTATATTCAAGTCATTCAATATAAAATTATATATTCAGCCCTAACCAGTTTGGCTCAGTGGATAGAGCCTCGGCCTGCAGACTGAAGAGTCCCAGGTTTGATTCCAGTCAAGGGCATGTACCTTGGTTGCGGGCACATCCCCAGTGGGGAGTGTGCAGGAGGCAGCTGAATCGATGTTTCTCTCTCATCGATGTTTCTAATTCTCTATCTCTCTCCCTCCCTCTCTGTAAGAATCAATAAAATATATTAAAAAAATAAAATTATATATTCAATGTAAATAATGTATATTTATTATTGTACTATTACTAAAGTGTAATTTTTAAAAGTGTAATTTATATCATTTCTTAGATTAAAAATATGAATCTTTTTCTTACAGTCTAGAGAATTATCTTGCCCATCCATCCCCGTTTAGAATACAGTGTTCCATCCTCTTGTGAATTTTTGGGTCCATCCGAGAGATTAGTTAAGATGTTTAGAAAGAGGTATCCTCTTCTTTATTTTCATGGTTTAATCTATAATGAGGATTAGTTATTATCTCCTTTTTCTTGAACCCCTGTATCATTTTATGACAGTATCTGTATTTTGCAGTTTTTCATATATCTTTGTATTGCTAGTATTGGTACCTTTAGAAGAGCAGGCACTGGAGGATTTACCAATCATGATGAGATATTCTTAGCCTCTAAACAAGCATTTCAGAAAGGGCCCCTGACAGGGGTGAGCTAATTCAATAATGGTTCAATTCCTGGAGGTAAGAAAAGGGGCAGTGGGCAAGGGATCTTATTCTTGACAGGCCAAGCAGCAGCTTCAGCACAGTCGTGGTTCCTTAAGCTTAGAGTTCCTAAAAAAGGGGCAATATAATTGCTTAGGAAACCTTGAAATTGAATCCTAAGATCCATGTGGGCAGAGATTTTTGTCAGTTTTATTCACTGCTGTATCTCTAGCACCTAGAACAATGCTTGGCATGAGGTGCTTAATAAATATTTATTGAATGCATGAGTAATAAATTCCTGGGTTATCAAACTGAGCATTCTATCTATCACTTCAGTTAGTTATATTAGTCTTCACTTAGTTTAAGAGCTTTTCAAGTGTGATGGTCTTGCGCAAGTGAACTAAAGTGAAAATGTTTTGCAGCCAGCTAGGTTGAAGGGACCCTTTTTGAAATGTTGGTACTGAACGTGGGCAACATGAACTTTACCTCATGTCCTGCTCCACCCTGCAGGGATTTGTGGGCTATAACCAACACAAATAGTACAGTTAATTGCACCATAATTGTTTCCAAAGATTGGTTCTCATTCCCAAAGACCTAAGGGATTACTTTTGACACAGTCCTGTTAAGGTCCTTTCGAAGAAGTCATCTGAGACAGCATAAGCTTAAGACACCCACTTCTTTCTGTTCCAGCCTGGGTTAGGTCACTTACTCAAAAGTCAGTATCACAAACTATTGACCAAAATGATCAGGGTGATAGAGGGCTACCCATCTACCCCTGTTTTCTCTGCTGTAAATCTTGATGCTTTATGCTTTACTCTTTCTTTTCTTTAGTGTCATCTTCTGCATGGTTTAGTGCAGCAGTCGCCAACCTTTCGGACCTCACGGACCACCAGTTGGTGACCGCTGGCTTAGTGGAAAGCACAGTTGTGTTGGGTTGCAGCCTTAATGAGAGCTGTGTGCCTTTGGGCAAATAGAGCTCTGTCAGTGGCCTCAGGTTTCCTCACCTATGTATAAAGAAGAGGCTTTACAAGATGACTTCTAAGAACCTGCTGGACTCAAAATTCAGGTCTTGTGTTCTTTTTTAGCCTTAGTCTCCTTCCTCCCCCCCACCTTTCTAAAAACTCCTCCTTATGTCTCTTCATTATTAACTAAACATATACTTTTAAAAATCTTCTCCTTTCCTTTGCCTGCCCTGTTCACCAGGCCCGTGCCTCAACCACATTTGAATCCTGAAAATCCCCTTCTCAATCCATGATGCATCAGAGAAATATCCATTTAGAAATATCTGACTGAAGAGAAGCGTTCTGAAATACTGGTATGGATGTAGATAAGGGACCACCTCAAGCTATGAATAGACTGATAAGTGTCACCGAATGCAATCAGAATCAATATGGATTAGCATGTGCACTGAAGCAAGTGATGTTTGACTGGTTAGATGAATCTCACTCAAGAGAAAAGGTTTCTCGGAGAATAATACATTGTTTATGTATTGATTTTTGAATTGAGGACATAGCTGCCGTGGTTGAATGATGTCAGAGGCCAGTGTGTGATCTGCTCTCCACCTCTGTCTTCTCTGAGGTTCTAGATCTCTTGAGAGGCCTCCATAATCTCTGTATGACCCAACCTCTTCACATGGAGAAAGCAGGTGATCTATCTTCCAGTACTTCCACCTTGGTTCTATCTTCTTTGGGAGCATTTTGACCTCTCTTTGGGTGCCTGTGTAAGAGACAACACCAAGCAGAAAAAAGATCACTGTATACTTCTCTTAGTTTTCCAGTTTCTAAGACTTGCCTTCTCTCTAAAAGATGCTAAGATCACAGAATAGAGAGAGCATGTGCTTTGCTGTTGGACATACCTGGGTTCAAATCCCAGTTTTGCCATCTACTGTCCTCTTGGACATGTTATTTAACTTCTCTGGCCCTGTTTTCTCTGCTGTAAATCTAGGATATATAGTAGGCACATAATAGGCTGGCACATACAAAGCATTCAGAAAAGTAGTTCTTTTCTCAGACAGCCATTGCTCCACTCCACTGTCTTCATCTCGAGCTTGGAGCACTGCCTTCAACAGTGTGACTTTTTAAGGAAACTTGGAGTTCCTCAGCCATTTTGGACTGGATGTGGACAAGCTCATTTTCACTTTAGTTCACTGCTCAAGGCTGATATTTTTCCAAAGGAACCTTTCTAAGCAAATAAAAGCAAACTCCAAAACAAAAAAAAGTACATACGTCATAGCAAGAATTTATACAGCACATGTTCCTAATCACTAAAGCTTGGCCTCAAAGGAGCTTAACTGGTGTGACGCTCTGCTTTCACACACTTGAGTTTATTCTCTTCAGCCCTGTGTTTTGCTTTTCACTAGAAGCATAGCAGTGAGCTGGTTGTTAGGGCTGGTTCTATCTTTATGAAATTCAGTGTCTTCCCTGATTGTTCTAGGCTGGTGTGCAGTCTGATGCATCTAGTAGAGTCGTTCTCAACCTCAACCTGGCTGCTGGTTAGAATTACCTGGAGGGTCTTGCTGAAAATGTAGGTTCTAAAGTCCTGTCTCTGAAAATTCTGCTTCACAAGGTCTGAGTAAGAGTCAAAGAACCTGTGTTTAGGTGCCACCTATCATTCTGTCATGTCCTAATGTCTCTATTGTTGCCATCATTATCCTGGGAACCTCTTCAGCAGAGAATTACACTTCTATTCTTATGTTTTCCTACCTTCCCATACAAACTTTTCTTCCTAAATCTTCCCCTTAAATGGCTTAGTTTCTATTTTCAGGCCAAGGCCACTATTTTTATTTTTACTTTTTTTTTAAGTATTCTAACATAGACAAGTTGCAGACTAATACAATAAACACTTGTGTACCTTCACTTAGTTCATTGCTTGTTAACATTTTGTCACATTTGCTCACATGCTCGCATGTGCTCTCTTTCTCTACACACACCCATAGCTATCTCTGGTCCTCTGTCCATTTGCAGAGCAGAGCTGATCAACGCTCCTTGAGCCTACTGAACGACCAATCCCTGTCCGTGCTTGAATCATCCCGGGTGTTCTCTATCACGTCCTATTCAGGCTCCAGCTTCGCCCTCACTCGTTAAGTGGCTAACAAGATAGAATGTGCCGTCTACATGCTTACAGAAAGAAAATCATTTTGTCTGCACTGCAGCCACTGTAGAGGAACTGGGTCCTCTTCTCAAACTCTTTGGTGACCCCCCCCCCCCAACCTTGAGGTCTTTGGTACCTTCTACTCTGGTCTGTATGTCATGTGCTCTGACCATAGTGAGGTCACTGCACCTCTTCTACCATCCCCAGGTGAGGTTTTCACTACCATACCCCCCTCTGGTTCCTGTGTGACCTGTTATGGGCTTCTCTAGTCACTCTGTTGACTTTCCCACTGCTACACTGACCTCTAGCCCCAGGATGCCTCTAGCCCCAGTATACTAGTAAAGCACATTCTTCTGCCCTATTAAGATCAGACAACCTTAGAAAACATAGCCTTTCTGACAATAACTTTAGACCACCATTTGTGTCACCTCTGATGTGTTTGTTTTTTTTCAATCTATTGGGGTGACACATTAATAATATATCATCTGTATATTGCATTGTGTGCTCACCACCCACAGTCTAGTCTCCTGTCACCATATAATTTGATCCTTTACCCTCTTTATCTTCTCCCCATTTCCTTCCCCTCTGGTAACCACACTACTATTATCATAGCTCTGCTGTTTTGCTAACCTTCTGATAGGTTGGCTCTGCTCTTATGACTGGCCAAACAGGCTCCTGCCTGGTCACCCCACTCACTTTCTTTGCTGACTGTTCCTAAGGTGAGGGATCTTAGGACACCATTCAGTGTGAAATCTGATTTCTCAGAAGGGCTGTGGAAATATCCTTGGCTAGCAGCTGGGAAATGGACAGACCACCTAGAAAGCTTTGAAAGGTTTCACGTTCCTTCTTTAGGGGCTTTGCAGAAGACCTACACCTGTCTGCAGGGGGCCCAGGGTCCATCCTTTTTTTTTTTTTTTTTGGTAAGACACTGGCAGTATCTTGTTAGAAGCATCCTCAGGAAACCAGAAAAGTGTTTCCCATAAGGTGTGTTTATTCTTCATGCTTCTGTGTCTCTATGGCTGGGCCATGGCAGCCACACAATGCTTCAGTGAGCTAGCCACACGGGGAAGGCATGAAGTCCTTGGTTTTTTTCTCACATCCAGTTTGAGAGGGAAGAGGGGACATCAATTCTTAGTCTAGGGAATCTGCTTCTAGTTAGGGACAGAAAAGTTTGGTCTTCCTCTAAACAGGCATTATAGATCTCAGGCATTAAAATAAAATGGGCTTGACTTTGAACCTCGATTCTGCTACTTCCTAGCTGTAAAATGGGGATAAAATTACTAGCTGTACATGCATAAGTTTCATAACTTCTCTGGCCTCAGTTTCCTCAACTGAAAGTAGAATCAACAATAACACCTTAAGGCAGTGGTTCTCAACCTTGGCTGCACATTAGAATCACCTGGGAATCTTTTTAAGAAACAGAATTTCCGGAGGATGAGGCCCAGACATCAGGCTTTTAAAAAGATTCCCAGGTGATTCTAATGTGCAGCCAAGGTTGAGAACCACTGCCTTATGGGGTTGTTGAATATTCAATCAGTTAATACATGTAAAGAACTTAAGATAGTGCTTGGTACATAGGAAGTATTCAATAAACGTTAGTTGCTATTTGAGTTTCGAGGATGGGGTGAAGTGACCTATTTGAAGTATTTATCACTAGGCCTATATAATATTAACTTTTTAAAAAAGTATCCCCACACAAGTCTGAGGCAGTGGCTTCCCGGCTTCTAGTGTAACATAGAGGGAATATTTTTCAGAGCAAGGGCAGGACCCAGCAGAGGAGACCTTCATTCTGGGTCTGGGATATGAGGAAGACAGGCAGGCCCCAGCTCAGGGTGGGAATGCCTGCATAATGGCAGAGGCTGGCAGAGATGCTTGCTCATATGGACCTGAACTGGTGCTGATTCAAGTTCCTCCTCTCCGTAGGTTTCACAAGCTGATCTGGGGGAGCTTTGGCAATGGGAACCTGGACGGCGCCGGGGTTATTGCAGGCGGCGGGGACAACGGTATGCTTACACTATACAGTGTGACCCACATCCTGTCTCCAGGAAAGGAGCCTGTGATTGCCCAGAGACAGAAGCACACGGGGGCTGTCAGAGCCCTTGACTTTAACCCTTTCCAGGTACTACATTTCATTTGGTCAGACATGGCCAAGCCCCCAAGCAATAGATCGAATGGAAGCATTCACTTATGACTTTCAGTTTGTAACTCTGAACCCTTCCCAGGCTGCTTCGGGGGAGGCTTTGGGAGCCTCATCTATGGGTCTCTTTCCCCCTCTCCTGCTCCCATCTCTTCTGGGATGGTGGTCTCCAAAGACCTGTGCTTTTACAGGGCAACCTGCTGGCCTCAGGGGCGAGTGACTCTGAAATCTTCATTTGGGATTTGAATAACCTGAGTGTGCCAATGACCCCAGGATCCAAGTCACAGGTGAGGAGGCTCCGGGGCTGCTGCGTACAGCGTGCAGCTGACTTTCCCAGGGAGGCAGCCAGAGCATAGGAGGTTTTAGGCTTTACCACTGGAGGGCAATAAAGCTCCACAGACCATGTGCTACCAGCCAGACGATGACAGGGATGGAGGGGAGGGGAGTGTGTGTGTGTGTGTGTGTGTGTGTGTTTGGATGGGTGGTTTGTGGTCATTAACTGTCTTAGGGGTTGGAGTAAGACATTGAGAGAAGACATTGTATAGCTTAGGCAAGGTTAAGCAGGTTTGGTGCAGAGGGGACTCCCAGATATACCCTGGTCCTTTTTGGGGGAGGGTCAGCCTTGTCTCTGTATCTGGTTTTCCCATGCAGTCGGGGGTCTCATGTATTTCTGTCTCTAAGTGTGCCTATCTGTCAGTCTATAACTGGGCCTATCTTTTTGCTTCCTGGCTTTTCTCTGGCTTAAGCTTACAGTATCGTGAGGTAAGTTAAGAATGAATTTGATAGCATCTGTGCCCAAAAAGTAGCAATGGCTTTTTTTCCCTGCCTTGCTCTCTCTGGGAATCTTGGGTGTTTATGTTCCCCTTCCTCACTTCCTTCTTCTATCCTTGAGGGTTATTTTTAAATCTTGACTCTATCCTCTCAGGAGCACCTTGAGATAGGAGTGAAACCCAAGTGTGCCTACCATTGTCTCAGCTTCTGCACCAGTACCCTAAAGGATCCTCTCTGGAAAATTCACCTCCAGCTCCCTGAGACTGTCTTGGTTTGGGTAGCACCATATCTACCGTTAGGCTTTCTGTGGGTGGGTGGCAGCAGTGGAACAGCAATTGCCTTTTGGTTGGAGGGGGAGAGCAAGTTGTCCTTCACCTGCTACCCCCATCCTGCCTCAGCAGCCCCCGGAAGACATCAAGGCACTTTCTTGGAACCGGCAAGTTCAACACATTTTGTCTTCTGCTCACCCCAGCGGCAAGGCAGTTGTATGGGATCTCAGGAAGAATGAACCTATCATCAAAGTCAGTGATCACAGCAGCAGGGTGAGTCATGAAGCAAAATATAGGCTTGGGCTGTGGCTTCTCTCTCAGGCATAGTCATTGCAGCTACTCCTCCCCAGGCCAGGGTTCTGTTTGCAGCTGTTACACATGCGGATTCAGCCCCGAGCAGATTTCCTATTGAGAGTGAAAGCTTAGGGACCTAAACAGACCTGATAATGGGCGCTTCTAAGGCTCCTTACTTACTCATGGTCATCACTTATTCCCGATGGCTGTGGTGGTCTCAGTCACCTAGACGAGACACAAAACCTGTCCTTGCAGGGGTCCCATCCCTGTTGGGCAGAATGGGTTCTCACTAGAATGGGCAGGTTATGTTACCCATTGGAGCCTGCTTTGTTCACAGATGCACTGCTCAGGCCTGGCCTGGCACCCAGACATAGCCACTCAGTTGGTGCTATGCTCAGAAGATGATCATCTCCCAGTGATTCAGCTGTGGGACTTGCGCTTCGCCTCCTCACCCCTGAAGGTGCTGGAGAGCCATAGCAGGTAGTATCTCAAACTTATCTGCATCCTTGGTGGAGAGCAGGGGCATAATGACCTGGGTAGGGGGCAATGAATGCCTCACTTTAGCTACCAAACATCCTCCCTGTCTTCACAGCCATCCCAGTGAACACACAGTCACCCAGTCCTAGCTCCAGCCCCAACCAAGAGGAGTTCCTTTAGACCCAGAGGTCATGGAAAAGAGCCTGAGATGCCATCTAACTTCTAGAGATGGGAGTGGAGATGGGGAAATGAGAAATATCGGAGCCAGTGTTTAGCCCCTAGGAGAGTCCCCAGGCTCCCATCTGGTAATGTTCATTTCTTTAGTGATGAGGTTGCCTTCTCCAAGACTTCTTAATAGAAGAACCTTGGTTCCTGTCTGTCCTGCACACAGGCCTACCTCTGAAGCTGAGTTCTGGGGCCCATAGCAGAGAAAGCAGCCCCACAGTCTGTTCTTTGTGACTGAAAGGCCATGTTGCCTTTATACCTTCTTGGGAACTTTTGAGGGTTAGGCCCTCGCTACTCTCCTGAGCTAAAAAGCACCTATGGGGTGGGTGCTTCTGTGATTCATGCTGACTCATAGTCCCTGCTCTGCAGTCAGGGAACAGAAGAAAGCCACCCTGCAGTGACCTGTGGAAGGCAGAGCGATACAGAGCACAGTGCATAGGCTCTTAGAATTGACTTGGGTTCTGGCTGTTTGCTGAAAATTCCTTAATTTTTTAAAACCCCATTTTTCTCATTTGTAAAATGAAATCAGGCGCTCGTTTTGTAGGGAGGAGATTTACCAGAGATATATAAAGTACCCTATTCAGAGTAGGCCTTGGGCCAATGCTACGGACAGAGGGACCTCCTTCCTTTTTAGGGGCATCTTGTCAGTGTCATGGAGCCAGGCTGATGCTGAGCTGCTGCTCAGTAGTGCCAAGGACAACCAGGTCTTGTGCTGGAACCTCGTGAGCAGCGAGGTAGGCTGGCCCTTCTGTGGGCGTTCTGGGATGGGAGATGAGAGGGTAGGGGAAACCCAGCAGCAGCTATGCATTCTGGGCCGCCTTATCTATGTCAGGGTTTCCCTGATGGTGTGTTCCCTTATATTAGGTGGCATATAAGCTACCCACACAGAGCAGCTGGTGCTTTGATGTGCAGTGGTGCCCTCGGAACCCTCCAGTATTCTCTGTTGCCTCCTTTGACGGCTGGATCAGTTTGTACTCTGTGATGGGTAGGAGCTGGGACGTCCAGCAGATGAGACAGATTGACAAGGTTTGAAGGGCTTAATGGAAAATGCTGGAGGGAAGGGGCTGTCTCTCTTTGTGGGGAGAGAGCAGGACATATGGCCTGGAAGAGGGGATATTGAAGAGGAGGAGGGCAGGGCCCTGAGTTTGGGAGGGCTGTACATTTGCTCCAGTGCCCATCTTCCTGGGAGGAAGTCAGTCCTGCCACAATACAAAAGAGGCCTTCACCTTCACTTTTGTTTTTGGATGTTCCCTGTGGTATTTCAGGGACATTCGACCTCATGCTGGGACATTATTTGGAAGTATGAACTGTCTTATCTCCCTTGCTCCTACATATCCATTTTGTGTCACATTCCTCTGTAGACCTTAGAGCCAATAGGCTACTTCATGGGAATCCCACAATCACCATTAGAATACGGGAATCGCGTCTTTGTGGGCAAGATTAGGTATCTCAAGGATTTCTCCCAAAATGGAGTTTGTAGGTGGAGTTCCTGGCTAGGCCACCATTTCAGGCTGGTGATGCAGGTGTCCTTTTGCCCCCAGATCTCTTCCTCCTTCAGCAGAGGCCAGCCTCTCCCACCATTGCAGATGCCAGAGCAGGTGACCCAAGCATCATTGATACCTCCTCTGAAAAAAACCCCCAAATGGATGAGAAGGCCAGCAGGTGTTTCATTTGCTGTAAGTGTAGTGTGTGTATGTGCGAGGTTGTGTGTGTGAGGGCTTGTGAAGCCTACTGTGTGCCCAGCATGGAGCTACGTTCTGTAGGAGATACTTTTTCCATCTACCTGTGTCTCAGAGTAGGTCCCGCTTTACTGCTCAAGCTTCCCTCTCTATCCCTTCACCTGCTTGCTGTCAGTCCTATATAAAGGCATTGATTGCTTTAGACCTCCCAGTTATGGAGAACTGCCTGAGATGCCACCTGGTTTTTATCTAATCTTTATGTGTCTGGACTGGTAGTGAGTCCAGCTATGCAAGGGTTAGAATACAAAGCAGGAAAGAAAAAAAATAGATTTCATCCTGTCAGTCCTCTGCTCAAAACCTTTGACCTTTGACCCACATTACCTTATTGGCTCAAAGCCAAGTATACACAGCGCCCCTTTACCCTTCCAGTTTTTATTCCCACCTTATTCTTATGTGTTCTCTATGGTCCAAATAAATATGACTCTTATGTCCCACGAATAATTCCCCAATTCTGCTGCCTCCACCTGTACCCCATCCTTCAGCTTCTCTCTCAGGCTATTGAATCCTGGTACAGCCCTTCAAGTTCCCTCACTTAAATACCACCCGCTTTGGGAGGCCCATCTTTAACCCTCATCAGACTTAACCTCACTTCTGTAATCTCACAGATTTATACTCCTGTAATGATACATTCTAACTGTACTAAACTTATGTAGATGCATGTCTCAGGACCCTACTAAGTAATAGACCCCTAGTGGATAGGGACCACATCTTCTTCATTTTTATCCCTAAAGCAGTGCTTCTCAAACTTAGTGTGCATACACATCACCTGGGGCTCTTATTAAAATTCCAATTCTGGTTCATTCGGTCTGGGGTTGGGCCTAAGATTCTGATTTTCCAACGAATTCCCAAGGTGATGCCCTTGCTGCTGGTCTGAGGAGTAGCAAGGCCCTAAAACACCTAGCCCAATGCTTTAAATACGAGGCTTGAATTAAAAGCAGAGGGATAAAAGTAGAGGCTCTTGTTTTCAGAGCCAACAGTTTTATTAGGGAGGTCAGACCAACACACTCAAGAGGCAGCGAAGTGAAGGATTCTGAGGTCCCGAGACCTGAATTATTATCGATCTGTCACTTATCAGCTGTGTAACCTTGGGCAGGTCACTTCACTCAGGACTTCAGTGTTCCTATCTGTAACACAGGGATAGTGATAGCTGCCTAGCTTACGTTAGTGAATTGACATGAAGCTCAAATAAAAATATATGTAAGCACTTGTCAAACTCTTCAGTACTATACCAATCCAAATGCAGTGGTTTTGTTTAGCACTAGTCGAAGTACAGTATAGATTTTGTGCTGTAGGAGTCAAGAGAGGATTTCTACCTGGGAAAGCTCATTAAGGAGGGGGTCTGAGGAAGGGAAATAGTGAATGGCTAGGGCAGTGGTCGGCAAACTCATTAGTCAACAGAGCCAAATATCAACAGTACAACGATTGAAATTTCTTTTGAGAGCCAAATTTTTTAAACTTAAACTATATAGGTAGGTACATTGTTATTAACTTAATTAGGGTCGTCCTAAGGCTCAGGAAGAGCCACATTCAAGGGGCCCAAAAGCTGCATGTGGCTTGAGAGCCGCAGTTTGCCAACCACGGGTCTAGTGGAAAGATAGATATGTAAAAAATAAGTAAAATTTGTAACTGCCATAATTGGGGTATGATAAGGTGCCATGAGATCACACAGAAGAAAACAATTTACTCTGTGGGGGATGGATGTTTAGGGAATATTTCAGAATGAGTATGATGTTTGATCTCAGTCTTTTTTGTTGTTAATCCTCACCTGAGTATATTTTCCTAAGGCTTAGGAAGAGCCTCACTCAAGGGGCCAAAGAGCCACGTGTGGCTCACAAGCCGCAGTTTGCCGATCACGGGGCTAGGGAATAAAGCAGGAGTTGTCAACCTTGGCTGTAATTGGAATAACCTGAAGAATTTAAAAATACTGATGCCTGGTCCCACCCCCAGAGATTCTGACTTTATTGTTTGGCGTAGAGCCTGGCAACTCTGAACAGCTCCCCAGGTCATTTTAATATGGAGCCAAGATGGAGAACTGCTAGAGTAAAGGGCCTTTACTAAGCTTTGTATTTATGCCGAGTGCTTTATATAAAGCACCTAATTTGGTGAGAAGGATGCTCAGGTTGAGGTGTTGTGGTGGGTGAGGGCACAGAGCAGGAAGGAGCTGGGGACTTGGGGGATATGGCAGTCACATGAATGAGCAGGGAGAGAGGTGCTGCAGAGGCAGGTCTGGCCATGGTTTTGAAGGATTTTGTGTACAACGAGCAGAGCAGCTTCAGTTATCTCCTGTGGCTTTATGAAACCATTACAAGCCCCTGAGTAGCAACAGATACAGGGTTGTGGGCTAATGCTTGGATTGGAGGAAGGAAAAACCTAGAGGCTAGTAACCTATTCCAGTATTCAGGTGCGCTAGCACTGGGAATGGGATAGAGGAACCTTCACAAGAGACATTGAACAAAAGGTAAGACTTTGTTGTTGCTTGGCTGTAGTTGTATAAAGACTGATGATGCCAAGGTGTTTGGTCCAGGTGACTGGGAGAAGGGTGGTGCCAGGACAGATGAGGAGAGGATGAGTACCATGTGCTGAAGTTTTAAGCTGATGGTACTAAAAATGCAGAGCTGGTTTTGATATGGGGGCACATTTGCTACTCAATTCCTGATTCTATTCCATCCCCAAGTGTTTTCTTCTTATTGATTTCCTATCCTAGGGTTGACCAATATAGGTCTGTCCTGTGATCCTGACTTGGCGTTAATTTTTAGCTCAAAGGCATGACCGTTACCTTTTTTGTTTTTCCTCATCAGTTTGGGGGGAAGCTGGTTACTTTTGGCCTTCCCAGCACTCCTGCCCACCAGGTGCCACAGCCTTGCCTTCGCCTAGTCTTCATCAGTCAAGTCACCACAGAATCCGAATTCCTGATGCGGTCAGCTGAGCTGCAGGAGGCCCTGAGATCAGGAAATCTCCTCAATTATTGTCAGAACAAGATCCAGCGAGCGTCAGTGCAAAGCGAAAAGATGCTCTGGCAGTTCCTGAAGGTAGGAAGCCTGAAGGCTGGATGCTCAGCGGTGTTTGCCCAAAGCTGGGTACGGCAACACCAGGAGATGCATAACCACACTGTGACCCAGATTTCAGAGGCCCTGACTCCTAGCAGGTTTTTTCCTACATGACACCCACGCTCCGGACACAAACTCTTCATCCTTTACCAGAAAGAGGCTCAAAGACCATTTACACTAGGAAAGGTGAAGGGTACAAGTGACATGTGCCCTTTTTGCTACGATTGCTCATGTCCTGGATACTTTGCTGGAGCTGAGGTGAAGACTTCCACAGGGCCATGCCGAAGGGCAGATAAGATGATGGGAAGGGAGAAGATGGGAAGGGAAAGGAAGGGAAGATTAGCTGAAAGGATATATCATTATAAGAAGGCTTTGAGTTTGTTTCAAGTAACCCAAGGCAAGTCATTGTGATGGGACTCGGGGCTCAAGCCCTGCTCTACTCTGGAGGCATGGCTTCAGTTGCAGTACTGCTTTAACTTCAAGTTCCTTATGACACCAGGAGGAGTGCTATAGATCAAAGGAAGTGAGCAAATGAGAGGAGAGGGCTAACGAAAGAAAGATAAGTAACTGACCAGGCAGACAGTGAGAGGGTTATTCAGATGTTTGGGATTGTAGAGAAGAATGCAGTAAGGACAGGGCCTTGTTCCAGGGGATCTAGAAGGACGTGGGTCTGTGCTTCAGACATAGAACTCAATGAAGATAGACACCCAGAATCTGGGACGGAGAAAGGGATTTGAGAAAGATCATCAACTATAGAGTGAAGCTGGAAGACATGTGGGAAGAAAAGAGAAAGGGAGCTTTTGTTATAAACAGGATACAGATAATAGCTCCAGGAATGGTGGGGTGGGAGAGAGAATCGAGGGAGTGGTCAGGAGTTCAGCCTTTATTTACTCAAGCAGTGGTGTCCAGAGGACAGAGGGGAGACTGGTTGAAAAGCTACCCCGGAGTTGTCCATCAGAATGGTCCTGAAGCTGAGTGCAGATGAACATTTCCAAGCGAAGAGCATGGAAGAAGGAGGGGCCTTGAGAGGCTATGGAAAAAATGGTGGTCAGAATTCATGATTCAGTATAGGATCAACGAAGGGCCCAGACCAGCGAACCCAGGTTAGGGTATGCCTTCAGGAAGGCTTGGCCCTCAGTATCTGGTACACTGAGTGGGTAAACTGACTTTGTTTACTATATCCATGCACCTTCCAGCAGGAGTCTTCTCAGCCTGACATTGAGACTCAGAAGACTCACTTGGTATCATCTCCTCAGGAAGATGTGAGATAGAAACCACAGCCGGGCAGCAGGGCAGCATCGGGTGTTCCCTGCTGGGGCCGTTCTTGCAGCATCCATGCAGCAGTGCAGAGTTCTCTTCAGCGCCCCAGAAGGTAGCACAGGTGCAAGGAGTTAAGATGTCCTCCAGGCAGGTATATAAGTTGTCCTGGCTTAGAAGTCTCAAGCCCTCAAGAGCCAATATCTCTTGTACCAACTCCAAAAGTGTAGCTTCTAGAGTCTCTGCAAGGGATCTATTCAGTTACAAGAGTCTTTGCAATCAGGAAGCCTAGAACATGGTGCCCCCATCGATTATTTATAGTCTATATAGTTCCAGTCCGAATGCAATTTACCAATCACAAGCAATGTTGCCTAGAAACATAGCTCATATTTTACTATTATCAGGTTACCAAGGTAACAAATGTAGGAAGTCAACTGAAGGTTCAGTTTTCATGCAGAGAGGGAAAAGGTTTTTGTTAACACTATGCCTACGGCCCAGAGTACAAAGAACTATATTGGAGAGTACACTGGCACAGATGTCCAGTTTTAGCAGGAGAGGGTTATTTACATTCATATAATGGAGACTTCTGTGTCCTGTGATTCCTTAGGTGACCTTGGAGCAAGACTCTAGAATGCAATTTCTAAAGCTATTAGGATACAGTAAAGATGAGCTTCAGAAGAAGGTAAGCTGCTTTCACATCAGAATCACATACTTTATATGCAGAGAATCCTATCAGTGGAAACTATCTCAGAATGCCTCTTCCTGAGCGTCACTAATGTATATACAAACTTAACCTCCTGGAGTTAGGCTGTTTCCCAGGAAAATAGCTCAAGGATCTTAGTCTAGTTGGTGGGGTTTGGAGGTGGAAAGAAAGCAAAATGCTTGTTTGACCTTGGGCTGGGAGAGTGGTACTCACAAGTCTCCCCCTGCAGGTGGCCTTGTGGTTGAAGAGAGACTCAGGGCTGGGTAAGAGCCCTCAGCCCACGGGAGATAACCTCAGCAGTACCAGACAACAGGCCTTCGGCAGCCAGGTGTGGTAGGAGCCCAGCCAGCCAGACCTACAGTAGCACAGGAGTCCGGCTTTTAGGGCATTCCCCCCTTCCTGGCCCTTTGCTTTGCTCTCATGAAGTGCTCAGCTTCTATAGAAGTCTTCAGACTCCTTCCTCTGTGTCAGTGAGACACAGAGTTCATAAGCTTTGGGGCTGGGAGTGGATCTGTGTTTTAATCATGAACTTGAGCCCTTCCCAAACCTTACCTGCTTCTTCTTTTAGCTTTACCCATTGAGGGTCAAATTTATTACTGCTCCCAGAGAGAGCTACTAAGCCAGCTCTCTGTCTTTGGGGTTCATTTCCTAAGTAGCCACCTTGGTCCTTCCTTGTTCAGGCCTCCAAACACACCACAGAAGTCTCTGCCTCCTCAGCTTTCTTTGATGAGCTCGTCCCTCAGAACATGACTCCATGGGAGATCCCCATCACAGAAGGTACCCTCTGCATGGTAGTAGGTGGGCTCAGAGTTTTCAGACTTGAGGACATTGCTTTCTTGTCCCTTGCCTCCTGCCTCCCTCCCACCGTCACAAATGCTGGGTGGTTCTGTTACAGGTTAGAGCACTCTTTGGCTGTTGATTTTCATGGATGGGTCTTTCCTATGGAAACCTTTCTACTAAGATATTTTCTCAATCCTTCTGTGTTCTTGCTTTAAGGACTGTGACCCTGTCCTTGCTGAGCAATCAGACATCACCTGTGATACTGCCACATGCGTTACTTCCTCGTCTTGGGTTCTCTTCTTAGAGAGTAACCAGGACACCCCACTATATTTTGTTGTTGAGGAATGAAACTTGGGAGTTTGTTTGGGGCTAGGGAAGCTGAATGATACAGACATAGGAGGCGTGCTGTGGGCTCTGCAGGTGGCGGGAAGCGAAGGTTCGAGGGCAGGTTAACATGGAGGGGATGCCTCTGCCCCCAGACACAGATGGACTCCTGAGCCAGGCTCTCCTGCTCGGTGAACTGGGCCCTGCCGTGGAGCTGTGTCTGAAAGAAGAGCGTTTTGCTGATGCCATTATCCTGGCCCAGGCTGGGGGCGCAGATCTGCTGAAGCAAACACAGGAACGCTACTTGGCCAAGAAGAAAACCAGAATCTCCTCGGTAACTGCCCACTGTGCTGGAGAGGAGAGGAGGGCATTTCTTGGACTTTGTGAGGTGGATGTCCACACTTTGGGACTGGTGTTCAGAGGATCTGCCAAACTCCTTTCCCACTCTAACCCCGGGCCCCTAGTACGTGGTCTAACAGGGAGCCTGCTCCTGCTGCCTGTGCTGGATGAGTGGTTGGTGACCTAATTCCCTCCCTGCCCATTACAGCTGCTAGCCTGTGTTGTGCGGAAGAATTGGAAGGATATGGTGTGCTCCTGTAGCCTGCAGAACTGGAGAGAGGCACTGGCTTTGCTGCTGACATACTCAGGGCCAGAGACATTCCCTGAGCTCTGTGGTAGGTGGCCCTAGGCTTTAGAATGGAGTGGTGTGACTTCAGTGTGGAGTCAGTGGACATGCTGATGGAGGAGGCAGAAGGGCAGGCTGAGCTCTGGGAGGCCAGGCCATGTTATCAGAGCCAAGGTCTGGTTCAGCTGGGAGGCAAGGACTATAGTGCATGCCCCTGCTTTCATTTGTTGTCCTGTTTTTCTTGTCACCTCTTGAAGCAAGAGCTTTGCCCTTCATTGTAGAGCAGGGTGAGCCTCAGTGTCATATAAAGCCACTGTGGCTACTTGTCCCATAGCTCATGATCCACCACCCATTTCCAAATAGGGAAAGGAGGAGGAGCCAAGGAAAGCTGTGACATTAAAGAAGTTTCCATCTCTCTGCAGACATCTTGGGTACTCGAATGGAGCAGGAGGGCGACAGGGCACTCACCTCCGAAGCCAGACTCTGTTATGTGTGCTCAGGGAGTGTGGAGAGGCTGGTGGAGTGCTGGGCAAAATGCCACCAGGCTTCATCCCCCATGGCTCTACAGGTACCCCTTCTCTGCAGGGCACGGTCCCTTCATTACAGACCCTAAGGAGAGGCTAGTGGTAAGGCTTTGAACCCAGACTGGAGTCAGGGTATAAGGGAAAATGGGCCCTTAATGTCTGGGACCTTCTCCCAGGGATGAGCTGTCACCTCCTCCCCTCCTCAGTCAGGGAGATTGAGCAGAAGCTACTTAGGTATTAATCTTCATAATGTTTTCCTACTTCAGATTTGGTTATACAGGTTCATTCACTATTTGAGTAATTGTGAGCCTGGGCCTCCTATTAACTGCTATGAAAAATTCTGTGGATCTACATTATACCAGACACTCTTCAGGCAACCAGAGAAGATGGGGGTCACAGACTCACAGGGAGACAAAGTCATACATAAAACAGTAGCATAAGTGAGTCTGAAATTGCTGATGGCCTAGCAGAAAGTGTAAAGAAAATAGGCAGAGATGTACGAGAATCTAAGATCCCGATGGCCCCACTTGAGCCCAGTGCTAAGTCTAATAGAGAGATGAGGCCAGTGGCTCTTCTTTAACTGTCATTCTCTTTATGTCATCACCTTCAATTTCCATCTGGCTGTGGCCAGATGCCCTCCTTCCCATAGTGGGAAGTCCCTGGGTGAGCTGCCTGGGCTAGAGAGCAGGATGTGCTTTGAACAGGGCTGACTGCCCTCACCTTGTTCCTCTAGGACCTGATGGAGAAGGTAATGGTTCTGAACAGGAGCTTGGAACGACTGCGGGGTCCTGATGGGATGAGCCCAGGCCCTGCCACAACCTACAGGGTCACTCAGTATGCCAACCTCCTGGCAGCCCAGGGCAACCTGTCCACTGCCATGAGCTACCTACCCAATGACTGTGCTCAGGTGAGTGGGGTCTTGGGGAAAGAGCAAACCATTTAATTCAGTCATCTAGCACTGGCTGAGCAATTCAATGTTCTAGGCACTATGCTAAATGCTGAAGCTCCCAGGATAAATAAGATCTAGTCCCTCAGGGGGTGGGG